GGACCGGGGTACGCGAGCGCTCGCACGGGGAAGGGCCAGCACCGGACGGCATGGTGCGACGACAGCGGCGATGATGGCGCTGTGGGGACGCAACGGAGCCGGAAAGGAGCGCGAAAGGGATGGCGCTCCAACGCGACCGTGGGACCCGCTCGCTCGTGCGCGCACGCGAAGGGAACCGACGGGCGGGCGGCGCCTGGGGCGTCGGCGGTCACGGCCCTAGGCGGGTGCTCGTGCGAGGTAGGGAGCAGGGAGCAACCGAGAGTGGGGGTGAGCAAGGCGAGCAGTGGCTTAGCGTCCTCAGGAAGCCGAGGGTAGGAGGCAGCAACAACAGCTTAGAGGTGGACCGGCCTGCCCGGCACGGTCACGTCGACGTAATGGCACTACGCTGGGCGGGAGCAGGACCACGTGCGGCAGTGTGAAAAACGGCAGCAAATGACGAGACAAGCAGTGAGGGAGGGGAAAAGCAGCGCGCAACTCAGTAGTCTTCAAGCAAGGTCACGAGAAAACAAATGCACATGGCCTACTGCGCTCGTCCAAGAAGAGACACGTAGAGGCAGGCAATCAGAGAAACAGAGACAAGCAACGCAGGCAACAGAGACAAGACAAGAGGCATTGAAAAGCAGGCGCGCGAGATAGAGCGGGGAAAAGAAAAAAAAGGACCTGTTGCTGCTTGAATTCTCGGTGTGACTGGCGCTCACATAAAAATATCGGACGCGACGCAAGCGAGGGAGAGAAGGACAGGGGCGCAGGCAAACAGACACGACGGGGTGCAGAGCAATGCAGAGCCACGACGAGAGACGTGATGGTGAATAATTGTCATGCAACGAGTACGCTATACGCCAGGAAAAATAAATGAAGCTGCTGCGCTATCTCTCTCGTCAGTTCGTGCTTTCACACTAATCACTTGAATTAATGAAGCGGCCAGACGGACAGCTGTGTCGTGGCAATTTTTAAAAGATCTACATCCTATCAATTGCCACCAATAGACATTTCATGCGATAGCTCCCAAGTCATGGAACAAAATATTAGGGTGTTATGTAATTATTTTACGTAAAACAAATCGCCACAAACAACGCTTTAAAATATACTTTCTGATTTTTTACGTTGATGCGAGAAGATGGTTTTTAAATTTTAAATTTGATTTACCATGGAACAACATCTATTCACCAAATCAACGGTTGTATTGTCATTTACTAAACTGGCACTTCAAATATTATTTAAGTACCAATTACAAGTTATATTTTATTTTTATTTATAGGATTGTTTTCATGCTCAATCCAACCGAACAAGCCATTTGCCATTTACTTGCTAGAATCGTTACCGGACATTTTTAAATACTTTTACGCACTAAGTGATTTAACTTAGATATTTAGTTTAGTCCAACAAAGTGAACCACATAAGACTCGCTCATCCGTCCATGCGTGTTTTAAAAACCTAAAAATTTATTGACCAATTGAAAGGGTCGAGATGAAGACTAGAGGGGGGGTGAATAGTTATTTTTATAATTAATCGCATCGGCTAACCGAAACAAGTGAAGAATTAAAACTATCGGTCCAGCCAAGACTACACCCATCTATCTATGTTCTCTAGCACCTTCCAAAGATACTAATTAAACAACTAAGGTGCAGGGCTAGCTAGAGCTCTCCTAACCAATTCTAGGAGCAAGATCACATAAACCTATGCCATTAGTACTTTAAACAACAAGGAAGCTCCTACACATGCTAGTAAGCAAAAGCACGAAGCCACCTAAGCTCACTAGCAATGCTCAATAACAAGGCAACCAATGTCAAATTAGAGAGCGCAATTACTTAGCTACATAAACTAAGCAATGTGACTAACAAGATTACATAAACCAAATTAGCCACGCAAGGGAGCTACTTCTATGCTACATAAGCAAGAAGGTAACTAGTAAGCTACATAAGCCAACTAATTACGAAAACAACAACACAAGCTCAATGTATATGAAAGTAATTGCAAGCTTGTGTAACGGGGATGCAAACCAACGGGAAGAACAAGGTTGACACGATGATTTTTCTCCCGAGGTTCACGTGTTTGCCAACACGTTAGTCCCCGTTGTGTCGACCGCTCACTTGGTGGTTCGGCGGCTAATTGGTATCACCCGCCAAGCCCGCACGTCGGGCGCCGCAAGAACCTACCCCGGAAGTGAGGGTAGCTCAAAGACACGCTTTACTAAAGTTGCTCTTCGCGGCTCCCGTGGGGCGAGCACAATGCCCCTCACAAAGCACTTCTTCGGAGCGCCGCACAAGCTTCTTGCGGGCTTTGACGGAGACCACCACCAAGCCATCTAGGAGGTGGCAACCTCCAAGAGTAACAAGCACCATCGGCTTGCAACTCGATCACCTAGTGCCACTCGATGCAACCTTACGATGCAATCGCACTAAAATCGCTCACTCACACAATCGGATGATCACTATCAAGTATGTGTGAGATGGAGGGCTCCCAAGCACTACTACACAAGCCACCAAGGCTCTAGTGTGCTCAGCTGCTGGCCCAAGGCCGACCATGGCTTCTATTTATAACCCCACGAACAAATAGAGCCGTTACCCCTTCACTAGGCAAAAGTCGGGACGACCGGGCGCTCCGGTCCGATCGACCGGACGCTGGACCTCAGCGTCCGGTCATGCGATACTTGCCACGTGTCCCCTCCTTCAAACGCTATTCATCTGATCTCAACGGTCATCTGACGACCGGACACAGCAGCTTCAACTGACCGGACGCTGAGCCCCCAGTATCCGGTCGTTTCTAGTAAGGTTCAAACGATATTTCACGACCGGACGCGTCCGGTCGATCGCGATCGGATGCAACACTAGTGTCCGGTCACTCTCCAACTTCTGCTCTGCCTGCATCACCATACGTCAGCACTGACCGGACTCAGACCCTGAGCGTCCGGTCAGATTACACTCTAGCGTTCGGTCATAAGACCGAGACCGTGTGCTTTCTGCTGTCACTGACCGGACTCTGAACCCAGCGTCCGGTCACAGCACCACCAGCGTCCGGTCACTCTATTGACCCCTGTCTTTTCTGTCTAGGGCGCCGGTGAAGTTTCTCCTTTCGCCTCTATTTCTTCACCGAGTTGATCCACATCAACTCCAACTTCATCTCCTTTGTAAATGTGCTAACCCCACCAAGTGTACACCACCATGTGTATGTGTGTTAGCATTTTCACAATCATTTTCCAAAGGATTAGCCACTCAACTTGCCACGCCACTCGATCCTAGCAACGATGCAAAGTTAGATCACTCGAGTGGCACTAGATGACCGATATGCAAACAAGTTTGCCTCTCTTGATAGTACGGCCATCTATCCTAAATTCGGTCATAAACTTCTCTACACACCTATGACCGGTGAAATAAAATGCCCTAAGTTATACCTTTGCCTTGCGCATTCCATTCCATCTCCTCCAATGTTGATGCAACACATGCACCAACATGATCAACAATAATATGATCCACTTTATATCATCACGTGATCATATTGGTTCATCGATCTTGACTTCACTTGGTCTTCACTGTTGCCATCGTTCATCGGCACCAAGTCTTGTTCAAGCTTCACCGCCACGCGGTCCATCACTCCAAAGCCTTCGACTTGCCCTTCACGCTTGCAACTGGTCCATCAAGCCAAGTCTTGTCTTGATCTTCTCCACCTTGATCACATGACTCAATGTCATGTCTCATTTGCAATAAACTCCTTCATCATCACATGTGTGAGCTTTGCAACATCTCCAAGCCATTTTCACCTTCATGGCATATGTTGCTCACACATATGTACCTGTGGACTAATCATCTGTGTAACTCACATAAACACAATTAGTCCACCTAGGTTGTCACTCAATTACCAAAACCATATAAGGACATTTCACCGATTCCTCGTAGGTCTAATCTAGGTGCTAACTGAGCTCGTAACACCAGAGGTGTTACAGCCTGTGAGACCCAGCCCATTGGCTCAAGTTGGGCTGAACCGAATTCCGGATTACTGCAGCACCGAGTACTGTAGCTGTGAAAAACACGGTAGCGATGAAGTTTAGTACCGTACCGGAAGTTGGAGGAGAGTTGAGCCAGCTTAAAAGGCTGGACCCGTCGGTGGCGACCGCCTTTTTCCCCTTCCCCCTCCCCCCGCCCCTCCCGCAGCGACCATGGCGAACTCCGGTGAGCTCCACGAAGTCCGGCCATGGCGCCTGTGAGACCCAGCCCATTGGCCCAAGTTGGGCCGAACCAAATTTGGAGTACTGTAGCGGCGAAGTTTAGTACCATGCTGGAAGTTGGAGTTTGAGCCAGCTTAAAAGGCTGGACCTGGACTTGGGAGGCTATTAACTCTGGATCGATCCTTTTGCGCGAAGCGAGGACGAAAGCGCAAGAGAGTTAATTAGCAGGTGTGGTTCATTCAACGTGTAGAGTTGGCCTTAGCCGTTTTCTCAGGTTGGGGCATTACAGCGCCCCCGCCCCTACCTGGCCCGGCCGCCATGACCGCCACCAGCTCCCCTAAAACGCCCATCAACCACCTCCGTCTCCTGCCGGAACCCGCCGCTACCGGAGTTGGGGAAGAGAGAGGGCGAGCGCGGGCGCTGGCGGTGCCTTCTCCAGCGGTGGCGGCGAGCGCTAGCAGTGCCTTCTTCACCGGCCTCGGCGTCGGCACACATTGGACGGTCTTCCTTCTTTCCCCGCGCGCATCGGACGGTCATGCAGGTGTGCGCGCCGAGCCTCGCGAGCGCGCTCAGAAACAAGCATTTCCGAATAATATTTTGTACCCAGCACACCCGCCAAGTCGGGCCTAATGCAGGCCTACACGGGGAACAAATTGTACCCTGGACGGCCCACATGAGGCATCGGGCCTCCAACACACAGGTTGTGGGTCGCACCTGCCGTGGAAACCAACCACAGCACGAATCTCACAGCCTCGTGTCGTCTCCTTTCCCATCTCTCCATTCTCGCTTTCGCTTCTCCAGAATCTCAAGCCACCGCCGCAAGGAAGAACCCCTTCTCATGGCTGCGGCGGCGGCGGCGGCCGGGGAGGGAGGAGTAGGAGGAGACAAAAGCGCGGGCGCCCTGTTGCGCATCTTCGTGGGCGGGCTGGCGGAGAGAGTGGGCTCGGCCGACCTAGAGGCACTGTTCGCCTCCGCCGGGCGCGTCGCCGGCGTCGAGTTCGTGCGCACAAACGGACGCTGCTTTGCCTACGTAGACTTCCACTGCCCCAACGACAAGGCCCTCGCCAAGCTCTTCTCCACCGTACTCACCCCGACTGCCCTCTTAGGCTCTTACCTTTCTATTTCGACTGCTCCTAGGTTCTGTGGTCTCTGCTTGTTTATATAATTGCATTAGTGATTCAGATGAATGCACATTTTCTTTAGCAAAAAAAAAAAAAATCGTACGAGATTTTGGTGTCTGCTACCTGTTTGTTGCATGCGGCCCTTGCTCTGAGACTGTCTGAGGCTTGTGGCATTTTTGTGTGCAGTACAATGGGTGCAAATGGAAAGGAGGGAAGCTTAGGCTGGAGAAGGCCAAAGAGCACTACCTCACTCGCCTTAAACGAGAATGGGAGCAGGATGCGGCTGCAGCGGCGTCAAAGGAAGCTGCACTGAAAGGTAATGCAGAGAACCAGAAGCCGAAACTAGACAAGGCTGCTTTGGAGGGCATGAAGATTAACATCTACTTCCCAAAGCTGAGGAAGGTGAGCAGTTGTTTGTGTCGTATGCTAGGTTTGATCCGCTGTGCCAGTTATTTAGTAAGTACATGAATCCAAGTAGGAGTGTTAGACTATTGATTTGTATAGTGCTCCTCAATATGGCTTGATATTTGAATTGCTCAGTTGCACGGAGTTTTCTATATCGCATTTGATTGTTTTTTTTTCCACAACGGTAAAACCGAATTTCATTATCAAGGCAACGAAATTACAAAGTGCAACAGTTCCAAACCAGATACCACCGTGAACGAGTCCAGATAGCCTTCACACACATGATTACACAGGGAACACATGCATGAACGCGCTAACCGAGTTTTCTATATCGCATTTGATTGTTGAGTAGTGTTTCCAGTTATACACTCTTCCAAGAAGTGGAAAAAGCACAAATTTTGGATTACACAGACAGTCTTGTTTGCAATTTCATATTAACACCAGGTTATCATACCTGTATCGTTTTGTAGGGTGTGAACTGATTCTCTAGCACTGCTCTTTTCCTTCAAATGTGTGAAAATATAGGCAGGTCTAAAAATAGTAACAAAAAGCATTAGTTGCCTAAATCTAAATAAATGTCATGACTGCATTGTGTAATACATAGGTCAAGATGGAGGCCTGGAGGGCGTGCATTTTCTATTTAAATGGTTATTTAGTGTGCCAAAAAGAATTAGACCTGAGTTCTCTTTAATCAGTTATATGCTTTTACAGGTGAAAGCTTTGCCATTGAAAGGCACAGGAAAGCATAAATACAGTTTCCGACATATTGAAGTTCCTTCTTATCCAATTCATTTCTGTGACTGTGAGGAGCACTGTGGACCTCCTGAGGAAGCTAATAATGAATATGCTTCTGTTCTTAATGCTGCTTCATATCAGAAGGAACGTAACATTATGAATTCTGTGATGAACAAGCTTTTTGAGAAGGAAAATGAACATCTTGATTCATGTGAAGTGGAGAAATTTGATGGTCATACTGACACCATTGAACCCTCCAATGCTGTGAATGACATGCAAATTAAAGAAACAGAAGAGGGTCCAGAGGAGGATTTGGATGACTTGCCAATGGAAGAAACAGAAGAGTCTTCAGACGAAGATTTGGATGATGACCTTGTGATTAACATTGCTCCCCGCAAGTCCAATTAGTCTGCAGTTCGAGCGAACATGGAAAAGCAGGAAGTGAATAAGGTAAGTACTTATTGAGCAATTTGCACGTGGTTTCCAAATCTATGAGAAATTATATGCATAAAACATGATCATCATAATTTCATTTATACGCAGAACTCACAGTTACAAAAGCGTCCAAGGATTGAAGAGCCTTCCCTGCCGAAAAAGAGGCAGAAATCTGAAGCCTCATCTGAACCTATAAAAAGGAATGGAGAACATGTTTCAGTTATTTCAGACACTAGAACCGCAGGCAAGACTTTGCCTACAAAATCAGAAGCCAGCCAAAATGAACAAAAGTCTCTGGGTTTGAAAGGAAAAGGAACGTATGAGTTTTCTTCGACACTCCCCAAAGATAAAAGCTCTGCAGGTCCTCAAGGCAGTATGGCTCTAGCAACTTCTACCAAAAATGAAAGTGCACAAAATATTGGTTCTACTGAACCTAAAAAAGGTTATTCATGGACTCAGAAATCATCCTGGAAAGATCTTGTAGGGGGCATGGGGAGCACATCTTTCAGCATATCACAGGTGTTGCCGAACAATAATTCAGCACCAGCAGTACATTTAAATGTTACTGAAACTGAGAGATCTTCAAAATCCTTGGAAGCTACAACGCAGCTCTCATCTGAGCAGAGGTTGCCGAGTTCCATGGGAATGCTGTCTACCGGCACTACAGATGAGTCAACAGACTATGCCATTGGTGGTCAGCCTAAGGAGAGCAATAAGCCACAAAAGGTGCGGGTGGTCCCAAAGATCACCATTAGTGAAGTTTGCCCTTTCATGAGAAACACAGAGTCACAAAGGCAATGGTCAAAGGCAAAGAAAGTTATAACTGGGTTCGCGAAGAAGAGAAACGAGAGCAGCACAGGAAAGGGAAAGCCATCGAATAAGCAATAAAAATGTTGTTTTCTGGGCTGTAACTCATTGATCTACATTTCAATACTATCAAAATCATGACCATAGCTGTTGTATTACAATGACTATTACATACCAATGGTGTTTTTTTTTTGTATAAGAGCAGTCAAAATTTCTTATTTCTGCCTGCGTGTTGTGAACACTTTCTGCCTGCGTGTTGTGAACACTTTCTTGCAACACGATGGGCCTCTAGACTCGAGGATTATTAATTTTCTGTGATATGATCGATATAATTCTGCTAATGTCATAAATGCAGTGTCCTAGTCACCGTATTTTTTTTGTCTATATAATAGGAAGGGTTTGGGGTTTTTTCACAGATTGGGCCAAAATAAGCAAAATCTTAGGCCGAAATAAGCTGAAATTAGAAGCTAAAGGATATACTTTTTTTTTCTGGCCATGCTCCCACAGTCCTATTAAACAGGGTCGAAGGGCTGCTTTGTAAAGGTAGTTGCACTGGGCGATAATTTCTCGCGGGATCATGCGGGGGACCGTTAAAAATATCATCTCATTCTCAACCACATGCTGAGTAGATGAAATGCCGTGTACATTTCTGACCTCTAGTTATGGACGTGATCTCTCGGCCTCCCATTCATTCATCCCGTGATACTGCAGTTTAATTCCGATTAAATTCTAGATCTGCATTTCAAAGAGGTAATCATTCTGTTTTTCACCATTGAATAAAGAGATTATTAATTAAGTAATCATATATATTATCCATACTAAGTCTTTGTTCTAATTGGGTTCAATCTTTGGATCAGGAGATGGCAACGGACAGTGCCGATTCCCAGAGGCTCTTGCTTGGGCGTCAAAACTCACATCAGGTTCTAATGATGTGTATCTTTGTGTAAATTCTCGTTGACTGCAATCATGTCATCAGCGTGTTGACCCTATTGCTTGCATCATCACTGCGTGCCTGATAAGCGATTAGTACAATTTCAATATTGCATCATCAATCATATATATTTTTCTGAACCTGAATATTACAGGAGATCATGGATCTGAATAATAAATTGTTTTTTCTTTATTGACATAATTGGCCTTATATATATGCCCTTATGGTCTATGGCCCTATAAAAAATTGACTCATGTGAAATTTCACCAAGTTTTCCAAAGGAATTATAATCAACCCGTAAGATTTAGGTGTCATATTTCTTGTTACTGATATGCAGATGGACAGGTTCAAGGGACAGAAATCTGCCAATCAAGTGAGTCATAATCATATACATTAGCCATACCGGTGCCAACCTGTGCATTCATGGAGTTCCATTTGCATAAGTCCTTTTTTTTTGCTTGGTATGTTTCCACACTTATTCACTAGATTTATCTCGATTGGTTTTCCTATAGAACAGGCTGATGGAGCAGATGAGTTCGAGGACAATAATATTGCTGCACCAGAACCTTTGTCCCACAATATCGGAGCAAGTTTCCAAAGGAATCCAAGCTCTACAAATTCGGGTGTATTCGGAAGCCTGAAGATTGTGCTGCTGAAATCTAAGCTCAATTTGCTTATACCATGTGGATTCTTGGCAATCCTGATCAATTATCTCAGCCAAAACCAGGTTATTTTCATACACAATTCTACTACTACTACTACTACTTGAGTACTTGTACTTTTGTTTTTTTTTTTTTTTTTTTTTTTTTTGCTTGTGGTCTTTTACTGATTTTGTTACTTTGTTTCTCTGAAGGCCTGGGTATTTCCTCTGAGCCTGTTGGGTATCATTCCTTTGGCTGAGCGATTGGGTTTCGCTACCGAGTAATCTGTTCTCATAATTTTCCCCTCATGCTTGGTGTAATCTTCTTGGTCAAGTTTGACCTTTTACTTCTTGATGCAGGCAGCTAGGACTCTTCACTGGCCGAACAGGTCTCATTCGGTTCCTCTTCTTCTGAAGAATTCTGAACTGAATTACATCGCATTGCATTTGCAAACTTTGGTTGACTGTGACCACTTCTCGTCGCAGCTGGGGGCCTCCTGAATGCTACATTTGGCAATGCCACCGAGCTGGTCATATCAATTCATGCGCTGCGGAGCGGAAAGCTACGGGTGGTTCAGCAATCTCTGCTTGGATCAATCCTGTCAAACACGCTGCTGGTTCTTGGCTGTGCGTTCTTTGGTGGGGGGCTCACCTGTGGCAAATACGAGCAGGTTTTCAGAAAGGTGCCCCGTCGTCCTTATCAGTTCGCAGGTTTACATGGTACAGATAGATACTGAACCGTTGCTGCATTGACAGGAAGACGCAGTGCTGAACTCTGGGCTGCTCTTGATGGCTGTGATGGGGCTGGTCTCTCCTGCTATGCTGTACTATACTCACACCGAGGTTAACTTGGGCAAGTCAGCACTGGCATTGTCAAGGTTCAGCAGCTGCATAATGCTTTTTGCTTATGCTGCTTTCATTTTCTTCGAGCTGTCGAACAGCCGCCGCAGAGACGAATCTAGTGAGGCAAGCAGGATGAGTTCATTCTCTTAAATTCACTGTTTTATTGTTATTGATCCCTTTGCAAGTTTCTGAGGTGCTTGTTTGCATTTGTACCACCAGGGAGGAGGTGGGGATCAAGGGGACGACGATTGTGAATACGCGTTTCCTGAAATTTCTATGTGGGAAGCCATTGCTTGGCTTGCAATTTTTACTGCTTGGATCTCAGTTTTCTCTGACTTTTTAGTTGATGCAATCGAGGTATTATCTCACTGATGTGATGGATGATTTTTATGGCACTTATTTTATCTGTCACATTTTTTAGCAAACACTTTGTTTTGTGGGGGAAGAGATTTTGTGTGAACTGACACTGCAAGCTGTTTGCAGGGAGCTTCCAAGGCTTGGAAAATACCAGTTGCGTTCATCAGTACTGTTTTGCTTCCAATTGTAGGGAATGCTGCAGAACATGCCAGTGCTGTTATGTTTGCAATGAAAGACAAATTAGTAAGCAGTAGCTTGACATTGTTAATATCTTTAATGACTTCTTTTACTGTAATTTTGTGAGACTCATTTGTCTTTTATAGGACCTTTCCCTTGGAGTCGCCATCGGCTCTTCGACACAGATATCCATGTTTGTGGTGGGTTGTTCAACTATGTGCTGCTTACTACCATTCGTCTAAATCATTTAGAAGTAGATTGGGCTGTGCTTCACCTGTCATTGTTTAGCTATTAGTTCTCAAGTGCTGCTCATAAAGGACCTAATCATCTTGATTTTTTAGATACCATTTAGTGTAGTGGCAGGATGGATGATGGGCCAGCCAATGGACTTGAATTTCCATCTGTTTGAAACCGCCAGCCTCTTGATAACCGTACTGGTTGTAGCACTTCTGTTGCAGGTACCGAATAAACACAATTGAGGAACAGTGTTCCACTCTTGCAAGATTTGTTTGTTTAATTTTTCTTGTTAACATTATAGGATGGGACTTCGAATTGTTTCAAAGGGCTGATGCTAATTCTCTGCTACCTGATAGTAGCTGCCAGTTTTTATGTATATGCTGATCCAAATATTGATGGTAGGTTTCTCTCCTTTCTAAATTGTTATTTCTGCGACAAATAAGCTATGCGCTTCTATCTTTTTCTTAAATATCTAATTAAAAGCCACATCTGAAGTGAGAAAGCTCAACAACACGATGAATTTGTATAATGTCCATTGGGAATTCTGTGCTGCAGGTGTTTAGCCTCTGCGAAACTAGTACCTTGATGTTGATGATGGGACTATACTTCCAGTTTTCCGAAGAAACCTCCTCGAGGGCAAGGAGCTCCTGAGATTCACTTAAGAAGAAAAAGAATTGACTGACCTATTCAGTGTTCCTCACATGAAGAGGTCATTCAAGCACACCCACTGTTGTAGATATGCAGAAAATTATACAGGAAGTTCTACATAAATCTCCAGTTTGTGTAGGCAACAGTTTTGTTCTTATGATACACGCAGAAATTGTAGAAATCAGAATCAATCTTTTTTTTTATGAACAGCTGTCGTTATTTACAGGCAGTAATAAATTTAGTGACACATGAAACAGATCAATGGTCCTTTTTTTGTTGCATTTTCATCTGAAAAGTAATCATATACATTGGCTAGAACTCTTTCAAGTACTAGGGATTATATGATACAAGAGAGAAGTATCTAGGAAGAAGTGCTAATATTCTACAAGGTTAGAGAAGGAAAGTACTTGGCGAGTCAACATTTTTTTTTAACGTACGCGAGTCAACATATTCAACTGTTCATAACGGCTGTGAACATAGTGGCTCCTTCTCAAGATCAACCTGAGGCTTTGCCTTTTTTTCTTGGTTATTCACTTGTGACTTGTGAGTCATTCCATGTCAGTATCTGATTTCTTTTTAATTTGGCATTGGAGCTGAAGAAGTGTCCGCTTGCGTCTCGGGTTTCTCTTCCTCTGTAGATTCAGAAGGCTCTCTTTCTATTGAACTTGTCATAGCTGATAAGGAATTCCTTGCCTTCTGTTGTTCTAATATCTTCTGCAAATACTTTGCATGTTCTTCTATGCGCACCTGTAGCTGCCTTTGCACCTGATGACGAAGAAAAATTTGTTTCATTGCTAGCCATGTAAATCTGAAATTTATACAGGACTTCTAAAGATAATTGTATTATACAGTATCAGCTCAAATTATTCATCCACCACTAGACTAAAAAATCACTGAGCTAGGGTACTTACCTCTAATTGTTCATGAAGTTGTTTCTGAACCTCCATTTGCATCCGAAGAGCTTCTGCTAGTTGTAAACTCCTGACAAACGTAAAAAGAGATGTGAATTTAAATGGTTTTGAATTTGTTCATTCACACTGTAATGTGTTTGTACTAGGGGTGGGGGTGGGATGCTTACATCTTTCTGCCACCATTGTTTCCTGGTATTTCGGATTTAGATATCTTGTCTTCTGAAGAGGACTTCTTGTCTTCATTGAGCATGCAAAAGAACCAATAAATTCATCAGGGTAAATTTTCAACACAAAGCAATTACCAGCACCTAAAGACATAGGCTTGAATTGCAACTTTAAGTTTCTGAAAATCTACCTTCTTTTGTCTCTGGAAGATACTTGGCAAAACGATATTTCTGCATTTCCGGACAAAATGAACGAGTAGTACATCAGAAATGATGGCTGTTTACAGGAGAAAGCGACTATGCACGGGAAGAAATTCCACCAAGATACCTGCAAATGGCTCTTCACATGATAGATGGTCAAGCCTTCTACCTTCATAAGCTTCAACACACCCTTAGGAGTTGCCTCTACAAGATTTAAACAATCACTTGAATATCAAAACTGTGAATTTATTTAAATTTAACTAGAAAGAATGGTCACCCTACTTTCTGGTCCTCCAAGCTTGTTGACAGCCTTTACAAAAAGCTCATGGAGCTCCAGTGTCCATCTCAGTCTTGGCTTGTTACATGATGAAGCTCGAGATGAACTCAGCTGAACTTTAACAGGAGATCCTGTCCTCTGGAGGTCGTCTTGGTCAGAGTAAGACAACACCGGACAGGAAGAGGTTTGCGGCGGTCTGTCATATATATCCTGATTGATCAAGAACAAGGTGTAGGGAAGGGACTAGTTAGTGTCACAATTTAGTCATGACAAAAAAGACTCATCATCACAAGTGAAAAAAGGAAGCCTTTAATTTGCAGGTGCTTAATATGGTAACTGATGGAACTATGGACTCACATCTAATTGAGGGCTCTCTTCGTTGTTGGTGATGACAATTCCGAGCTGTTCAGACAAGAACTGAAACTCCATCTGCTCTCTGAAAGCCATGCCGTCGCTTTCACTGTGGAAACTGCCTTCTGAAGCATCTCCAGAAAGGTTAAGAAAGTCCTTGAGATCAGCTGAATGTTCAGCCTCACTTTGACCACCATTGTTGAGGTCAGTACCAAAGAGCAGCGATGAAGAGCTGGATGACTGCCCACCTGACGTTTGCTGCTGCTTCTGCTCACATTTAGGAGGATGGGGCAGGAAAGGCAGAGCGCCTGCTTGCCGGCACGATTTGGAATTTGTCGACGACGATGAGTACATGCTTGTGTAGAATGTGGAAGAACTAGATGGCGATATCGGATCCAATAATTCAGCTTGTGATGCACCACAGTGATCGTATTTGGCACTGAGCAGCTGATGAGCTGAAGGCTGGGGAGCAGTGCATGTGTGAGCCGTTCTGCCAGGACCAGTGAATTTCTTCACAGCGATAATGCTCTGTGTGCTCATGCTGCCTTCAGATTCAGACTATTGGTCTCTTTGGTCATTCACCACTAAACCAGCCTTGGTAGAACTGCTTGCTCCAAGCCTGCATAGTGAAATATCAGAGTAAGAACATGGAGAATCAAAAAATGAAGTCCGGGAATATGGATGCACAAGACCAGTCTAGTCAAATAGACTATATTTATGCCTTTATGCCTAAATAAAAAGATGTTTAGAATAGTCTATCAGAAGAGCCAAAAACTCATAATCTAAGCAACTCCAATAGCTCGGCTAAAATTAGCTGTCATAGTTTATTGTTTAGCTATTTTGTAAAATAGAAAACTTCTCAAAAAAAAAAAGAAGAGATCTACATCAGGGCTTCCTATTTTACAAAGATATATAGCTAGCGTCTATGATTGGCTATATATGGCCACCAAAAATCAAAAATCAAGGGATAGCCAACTTTCTATTTTACAAAATTAGATAGTACATCTGTTGAAGCCTATTTTTTTTCTATATAAATTCTAAAATAACCTGCACAGTAAAAATAGCCGAGCTGTCGGAGTTGCTCCAAAGGTAACTGGATACCAAACTGGATAAAAGAGGAGCTGCAAATGTATATGATTTGGACCCTGGCCTTCAGCAGTAATGGCCTTTCAGTGGATGCAACTGCAGCCTGTTCTTGAATCATCAGAGCAGCAATGTCTTAACAGCAGAAGAAAAAAAAATCTCATAGCAGACTTGTGATTAGAAGCACTAAGCCACATCACATGGAGGAAACACAAAACGGGAGGGGAAAAACGATATAAAGACCATGCAGAATTATGATGGTTCCAAAGCAAACCACAGATTAGCAAGGCTAGAAAACTCAGATAGTTCCAGATGCCACTAAAGTTTCATTTGACGATATGAAGGAGAAAACCCATTCGTGGAGGAAAAAGAACAACAACAACAACACAACTAAGAGTCTGGGACTGCAACTAACTCTGAGTCTGAGGAGAAACCAAGAAGGAACCCATTCATGATTCATGGAAGGGAATGATGAGGGAAGATCCAAACCCCTTACCTGAAAATGAAAAACTCTCAAGATGAAGAGTGCTGGAGCGTGAGAGATTCAGAAGCAAGGAGTTGCCTATCCTCTCTCCCTCCTATCCATTCCAAACTCTCTCCTCTCTCTCTCTCTCTCTCTCTCTCTCTCTGGCTTTTAACTAGTCTACTCTTGTGGACTTGTGGCACATGATTGGTGTGGTGACCTGCAGCTGCAACTACACTACTAGTCAACATCTGCCTCTCAGTTATTATGCTATGTATTTTGTCTCTACTTGCTTCTAATTCTGGGAACACAGCAATACATCATGACATCTCCCAAAATAACAAGCAAGGCTCACCAACCAACCATTCGAGCAGTTTTGTGCCATTACATGTAGGAATTTTCATGTGTTTCGCTGCCACACGTATGTATTTCCCTTTCGTTTAAGCTAACTCGTACAACACCCGTCTACATTTGGTTAACCTTGGTCATACCAGAACTTACAAAAATTGGCTTTTTTTCCAAATCAAACACGCATACGTTGATGGAAGGAAGGATCACTAGTATAGTAGGATTGGTCCCACCCTGGCCGGACGGGAAAAATGACTAAGAAAATATCTGAAATCTACTGGACTGATACAGTGCACAGCCATGGGGGAAGAAGAAATTAGGGTGAAAGCAAATGAAGCCGTCACCAGTAGTTGACCAGCGAGATGCGGCGATGCCCTGCGTGTTTATTCATCAAGCCATGTAGGGCGTAACAGGTGAGGGTTAGTCTGCATATGCAATTTTATTATTTCGCGAACATATCTGACCATATACTCCGTTTGTCATAAAATAACTGTACATCTCACTTTCAGAGAAGTCTTTTTAAAAAATTTAAGTGAATATACGTATAGAAATAGTAGTAATATTTATGATGCATAATAAATATTATTAGATTAATAATAGAATATATTTTTATAATAAACCTGTTAAAGTTAAAGTTAAAAAAATATGACTCCTCGGAAATAAGATTTGTAATTATTTTAGACGGAGGGAGTGCTGTAACTACATAAGCACGTTGCTTAGCTCAGGGACTAACGACTGCATAAGCAATCAATTTGAGACACGGGTGTCTACTGAATCTTGGCAGCAGCATCTTGTGCTGTGAGAGGACACTGGCCAGTTGCAAGATGTGATCCGTGACCTTTAATTAAGAAGTTAAGATGCAGAGTGTTCTCTCTGTTTCTTTTTAGTTGAGTTTAGTGCTTAGTTGAAGTGCGGGCCTAGTGCAGCGGTGAGAGCTGTCTCACTGAGGCATCGGGTCGTGGGTTCGAAGTAGTCTCTCCGTAGATGTTGCGGGAGAAAGGCTTGTCTCGATTTTTTTCTTTCTCAGACCCCACTCATGTGGGAGCCTCCGGCAGTAAGTCTGCTCCCCTTTAGTGCTTAGTTAATTGTTAGGCCTAGATCAAATGCAAAAGGCATAACAATGGATTACTCAGAGATTTACTTTGGTAGTATCTTTTTTTTAGACCTAGTTACAGACGTAGACACTCATATACACGAGCACACACTTACCCTTATGAACACACGCACGCACACTCTATCCCTGTGAGCGCCTCCGAAGAGCTGAGTTGGACCGACAAATTTCGAGATTGGCAAAATCACCACAAGCGTCTCACTGTCAACGGGCACGTCGACTACCACTGAAAGAATAGTGCCGTTAAATCCTAAAATAAATCCAGAAAAATATAAGCACATGTATAAGTTGGGGATTTGAACCTGAGTGGGCCGGTTCCGTCACAATGAATCATTAGTGGCGTGTAATAATGTTTGAATGATATTGACGATTCTCATTGCCTATACGGCCTATAGGCTATAGCACTAATAAGGTCCCGTTTAGCAAGGCTTCTCCATCAGCTTCAGGAGTTGTTTAGAGCCGTTTTCTGCCAAACGGGGTAAAGTGAAATAGCTTCATCGGTGAAGCCCCTAAAAACATGCTCTCACAATGATTTGGGGTGGGATGAGAGCCAAAAAAAAAGTAGCTTCTCCTGGCTCCTCCTCCAAGCCTCTAAAAACATGCTCTCACAAGGAACCCATTTTACCAAACAGTTTACCAAAATCGCTTCAGCTCCACCGGTGGAACTGTTCGTGGAGCTGAAGCCAAAAAAAAAATAACTTCACTGGTGAAGTGAAGCTCTGCGAAACGGATAGGGAAGTGAAGCTCTGCGATACGGGACCTTAAGTGTGACGTGAAAATTGTATTTGCACCGGTGGTATCTGGTAAGCGACCGAGACAACTCACGAGTCACAACTGTCAACTTGTCCCGGCCCCACCCGAGTGGCTGCTCCTGTGGTGGGCCCCGAGAAGGTCGTCCTAGGATTGGCTGGTGCAGATCGACTAGACGACAGAGCTGGAGCTGCCACTTCAGTCCTCTTCCACTTCCACGCCTGCCTCACGCCCTCCCCTTATCTTGTTTCTCTTAAACAAAACAAAAACAAAAAAGACCGTAGGCCCGTAGGCCATCAACCAAACGAAGAATATGTGGAATGTTGAAACCAAATTAGCAAATGGTTGGACTAGACAAACAAGTTATACCCTCTCTTTAAAATTAGTATTTAAAACAAACTAACTATTAGTTTGTTTGGGAACTAATTACTTTATCATAAATGTCATATATCTAAAAGCACAGGCAATACAAGTGTTCTAGTATTTATTAGCTGAACACCTAAACGAGGTCTTATGTCTACTAAAACTGTTATGTACATAAGTGGTTTATAAAATAATTTACTATATATGGTGGTGTTAGTTTGCCCTCATTAGCAAGACCGGTGACAAACAAGAATATTTATGCTACTTGATGTCACACCACTATTTAAACCGATTTGGACATGTTAATAAAGGGCATCCACATCGAGCATTCATCATGTAGGAAATCACTTTTGACAACCATGTACTAACTTGTTTACATGATTTAGTAAAAAAAATGAAGACTAATGATTATGAGCGTGGATGATAAGGCAACTGACTAAGGTTGCCTTGCCTGTCCAACTTCTCCACTAATCTAGATAAGCACTTCCTTTGGAAAACTATCACTAGTAGTATTGGGTGTGCCCAAATCAGTAACTGCCAAGTCCAAGAAACAGGTGTCTGACCCTCATGAGATCCCTGGCCAAGTAAATATGCTCACTTGCTGCATAAGCAGGCAACCCATTCCTAGCCAATCATGTTTGCCCACTCAATAACAGAATGGTGAGTTAGGGCATAGGATAGTCCAAAAGTGTCACTCAAGAGCTATGATTGAACGGGGAAAATTGCTAGGATTTGGAAGACTGGGGCCTGGGCATGTATCCTCATATCTCTTTCACTCTGTGCAAGGTTGATGGAAAGCTGTGAGAAAAATGGAGGCGATGAAATGGTTAATTTGTTTTGACGGAGACTGCTGGATGGTGAGAGAAATGGTGATTGCAGGGTTTGTGGCTGAGGTGAACCACACTCCATGAGATGAGGCAAACCCAAGGTGTGCCAAATTTATTGGAGACGAGATCCAATTCCAACTTGGGCTCTGCATGATTGCTACCTCCGCCAGATGAGTCCACATCTCAGTAAAGTTCTAAGTTTAAATACTAATTTGTATTATTGTCTAGTGTGTATTAAAAAAAACCCAATACATCCATAGCATTCATCCAGATCATCATGATTTGACCTCCGCCTATGCTGTTTCAACAGAGCACAATTGAAGCATAAAACCCTCCTAGTCAAACGCTTTTATTTTCTTTTTTCCCTTTTCGTTGGGTTTTGGCAAATAAAGTTTTTTTTGCTGTTGATTCAGATCATGATTCGGGCGTCAACGTTCTGAGCTCCGAATAAATCTAAATATATTCATAGCATTCATGCAGAAATATATTAAATTTCTTTACTATCATATGCCGAAAATGAGGAGGATCAAGGGATGGCTTAGACAGTTCGTACGTGGTCATCTCAGCAAGTGCACAACATAACATTAGTACACATACAGTTCCAGTCATCCAAAGACGACTTCAGAACGTGGCGACACCACAAGACTGACAACACCTCAATTTGATATGTTTTACTCAAATCTAGCACGGCAGCGCCAATTTACTTGACTAGCACTGCCTACTCTTGCTAATACTCGCTATCTACCTTTGAGCTCTTCTTCAAACATGCGCATTTTCTCCTGAATCGGCGCCAGGAAGGACTTGAGATCCTTGCAAATCCGTGTTTTGTCATCGGATGCGAGGCCCTTGTCATCACTGAACCTTACTTGTACCTGAAACCAGAGGCAGAAAAGAAATATGCCATGTATATCATGCCTTCCAGTATTGTGTTGGTACTGATATCTCAGTACATAATAATGACAGCTTTACCTCCAAGTCATCAATCTCACCAAACGAAAACTCAGGAATGTCTAAATGTCCTTTGATCTTCTTGTTTTCTTCTTTAATTAACCATTCACCTGACAAGGGCTACCATGAGTTACACTGCAGTAATAGCAATAAAAAAAGGACCAACAGTCTTGAGTGAGTGATATGATGTGATGTCTACCTTTAAATCTCAAGCTTAGTTCATAATTATATCCTACTCCCTTCTTGTTGCGGACAGTGACCTGAAATGCCTGCAAAGGAACCAGTGGTTTATATTCAGAAGTTAAATTATATCACAATACAGAGTTACAGAGATACTTCAAAAAAACAAATGGCTATCACAAGGCACCACAACAGATTCCATCCAAGGTAACACAGGAAACAGTATAGTTTCCGCTGTTATGTGCTAATGTACCCTGAAGGATTTTCAATTCAAAACATTTTGTTAATCCATTTAATCGCATTGTTCTTTTTAAGACAAAGCTCACAACTGTTGACAGAACCTTAGCAATCAAGTTTCAATGGACACCGAGCTGAGCAAAGTGCATGTGAATCCTTCACAGATTTTTTTTTTAGGCCAAGATCTAAGTGATCCTACATTTCCTGCTGTCTAATATTATTATTATTATTATATAACTAAATCCAGCACAGGTTCCCAAAACATAAATCAATACATGTTAGTCTAGACACTAATGCATTATGCTTTAGTACAAGCGTCATTCAGCTATCAGGAAAGACAGACAGTTTCATACTACAGAAGGGTGATGTAGAGAGAAATCAATCGCATCAGGTGTACAATGGCAAGGAAGCAACACGCATAATCAGACTGTTTCTTTCAAGCACAAATTGATGACCGAATAATAGAATTGAATGATTTTATTAAAAATATACTTACATCGCCTGAGCACTTGGACACTTCATCAACGGATGCCTTCCCTGTAGGGAACTCCAATGAACCTAAAGAGCCCAGCAAATCCTGTAGCACAAAGTAGCCAGCAAATGTCAGAATTTTTTTAAACAGAAACATCATTGTACTAGGAGTATCATAAGCCAAGTATTTTTTGGTCGCTGCAGGGGAGGAGCGCCGGTTATGGTGCATGGCAGGTGCTCGGGAGCTGTCCTTCCTGACTGCCCCCACTCCCTGATGGTTAGCATGTATGGTTCGGTCACCTCGACAGCTAGTTCACGGGCGCGAATGTAATCAGTCAAAAAGTGTGGTGTGTGGTGTGTGGTGTAAAGGGTTCTTAACCCATCTTTCTTCTTAATATAATGAAGCGCAGCTCTCCTGCGCTTTTCGAGAAAAATAAGCCAAGTATTTTTGCCAACAGCTGGTTACTAAAATATTCACCTTTATCCTAGTATTGGCCCATGAGTTGAGGTTCTTTTCCTCCCAGGTTCCAGCCTGCAAAGAGTAAAAAAAACGCATCAGAAAACTTGAATAGGAATAGCCATAAATTTGAAGACATGTACAAGGAGATTTATTCTGTCTAAAGCTGCAACATTCGTAAGATGGTATGGATCAGCGTCTTGAGCAAAATTAAGCATAGACATTTTCCTGTCATTTCTTCTTATTATCAACTTCAAAGAAGCATAAGTGCCAAAAAAAACAACAGCTGGACTTATCATATTACAAGCTAGGAGCAATGCCATAAGATTACTCAATGTGAACATAAATAAACCAAATTGTAAGGGTGAAATGAATTCATGTGGTGTTAAATCATTTAGAATAAAAAGGCCCGTACCAATTAGTTTACACATATCAGACATTTTACCCATTAGTTCAAAGTTATAAACCTATTCACCCTTCACATGCATTTCCCCTATTCATGCACCTATCGTCCTTTTTCTATCTCTCACTTCCAGTTCCAGGGGTAATCAGGGTTTATGCCCTTAGGAATCTAGCATAAAAATATAATATTCCCCAAACTGGATGCGGTCAGCCCAATTGTCTGTGGATTGAATCAACTCTCCATAAGCAGCAGGAACACTCATTCAACCAAGATAAGAAACATTTCTTGCAAGTACAAGGGTGAATGCATCCAGTATTCCACAAGAACAGAATGGAGCAGCACATTAACACAAGCGACATGTTTAAGAAACAATAATCCTGCGCCAATCAGCCAACCAAGCAACAAATTCATGGCAAATAAGCTCTGTCGATTGGATTGCTTTTTCGCTGAGGGTATTTGCTGACAAAAGGTGACTAAATTTGTATACTGGCATCATGCCAAGGTATCATATTTGGTTGTCACTAACGGACTCCCAGCGGTCAGATCAACAATACGTAATCACAAAGGAAGTTGAAATACAGATCAGATCTAGCATTCGTCAGCTACCCGATCAGACTCCACGCACGGATGAACACTAAGGACACAACGGACATCACAAATTCGTGACCTTTTTAGTCGTCAAGCTTGTCACAATGCAACTACTTACACGATTCCTTCTCCAATCCAACACAGATGGACGGAAGGGTGGAGATGATGATACGAAACGAGATGAGGGGCGGAGCTCACCTGATTCCAGACGGAGCCGAGGGGCGGCGGGTTACCGTTCCCGTTCCCGTTGGCGACGGGGTCGAGCTTGCGCGGGACGGGGAGCGGCGCGGCGTCGCCGGTGGCCTCCCGCACCCAGTACCTGTACGACGACGCCTTCTCAGCCGTCGCCGTCGGGGCCGCCGCTGCCGCCGTCTCCTCCATCTCTAATTCTCTACTCGTTCTCCGGCGCCGACGACGGACGGGCGGACGGACGGACGGATCGATGCCGACGCCGGCGCAGATCTCTCGGCTAGGCGCGGGGCGGGAACGGGATGGGGGCTCGAGCTCGACGCGTCGCTTGCACTCCAATTCTGACCGCTTTCTCGGGGGCTTGCTTCCTCTTTCTCCTTTTGTGTGTCGTCAGGGTCAGCCCACGCCCAGTGGCGTGCCCGCGTGTTCCAGATGCTTCCGGAGCCTTCCCGGTAGTACACGGTCACTGAAGTGTGAACCTTCCAGTATGGATGGCCAACGGGCCGGCCCGGCCCGGCATGGCACGGCCCAATGAGGGTCAGGCAGGCACGGCACGGCACGCCGTGCCTCTCGGGCCTTGCCGAACTGGGCTTTGTGCCTGGCTGACGGTCCAGGCATGGCCTATCGTGCCGTTTTTCGTGTCGGGCTGGCCCGAAAAGCACGCCACGGCCAATGGCCCGGGCCAGCCCGAGGCCCACTGACCGCCGACAGAGAGAGGGAAGGGGAAGCAGGAGAGGTGGCGTGCGACCGCCGGCGTGCTGGCCGCCGAGGAATGGAGCTGCTCGAGGTCGGCCACCGCGCTCGCCGCCATCGCGCTCAAAGCTGTCGCCGCTGGATCCGTCGCTGGAAGTCGGCGCGGGGCGATGTGGCTGCACGAGGGAGGGCGTGGAGAAGGCGGCCGAGGGTGCGGTGGTGTAAGGCCACGAGCGGGAGGAGAGGCGAGAAGGTGAGCGCAACCGAGCGGGAGGGCCGGGAGGCGAGCGCGACCGCGACTCCGTGAGTCGTGAGATAGAGCGAGAGGGAGTGCGGCGGGGCTACGGGGGTGAGGTCGTGGGAGGGGGAAATGAGTGCGGCGGGGATTGGGGATTAGAGTGGGCGCTTACTCTTAGCAGGCCGTGGGGGGAACTCGGGCCACTACCGGGCCTACCATTGTAGGCCGGGCCGGGCCGGGCTGGCATGTCGTGCCTGGGGTAAGGTCCAGGCACGGCCTGCTACCCCGGGCCGTGCCAGCATGTCACCGGGCCAAAATTATGGGCTTCGTGCCGAGCCACCGTGCCACGGGCTGCATGGACATCTATACCTTCCGGGCAACGTGTGGGTTCCACGGTTGGCCCACACGTCAGACACAGAACACGCACGCACAGCGACGGGTGCCATTCAGTCGCGTGGAAAACGATCGTCAGGCTTCAAAAATGTTTTTATTTTGCAGCCCTAAGATAAAACAATTATATCAGCCTGTTCGCTTGTTGGTTTCAGCCAGCCCAAACCAGCCAGCCAACAGTGTTTTCCTCTCACAAAAAACAGCACCAGCCAGCTCAAACCAGCACCAGCACCAACCAGTGAATATGCCCTATTTTCTGTTTTTCTTTTTCTTTCAGAATATCCGACCATTTCCATGTTCTTGGGAAGCAAACCAATCTCCAGTCAAAAGAGCCACACAGATCGAAAAAGGATGCAGACGTTTTAAAATTAGATGATTCCCCGTACGTTGCCGTGGGAATTGTGGTGTGATTTATGATGATCGGTAATCAAAGATTTGAAGTTGGTAGGAGGAGCTAAAAGATTCAAGTAGCATTCATTATTCATTCTTGAATGATTGCAAACAACATGTTGGAGTTGGAATAAAAAAATCAGTAGGAGTTGAATAACTCCTCTATTGACTTTAGAAGATAGATAATATGAAAAATGCCAAAGGAAAACATAATGTTACTTATATGAACTGAATAGACGATCTTGAGATCTAGACAAACATGCAGCCATTTAGTAGAATAAAATGATGGCTCACTGACGTGCATCTGGACTGCAGCTATTGGAGATAAGAATAAGAAACAAATAAAATCTAATCAATGCTGCAAACCAAGTTCTAGAAACAGAAGTAATATGAGAAATAATAATGTGTACAGAAACACTGCACGTGCCAAGAAGCATGACACTATCCCTGCTAGCTTCAGAGCCTATAGCAGATACCTCATGGAGTCATGGGCGAGAAGGAAGAAGCACTCTGGTTCAGGATTTGCAGATCGAGATAGTTACGGCAATGATCATGCTGATTAAGAAGCTTCAGATCGAGATAGTTACGGCAATGATCATGGTGATTAAGAAGCTTCCATGGATGAGGATTCACTCGTGAGGAGGGAGGGTTGTTAAAAGTAGCTGCAGCCCCCTATTATATCCTTTATTGTCACGATACAGGAAATGGGTGGAGCAGGGAGAGGATTCGAAAGAGTGGTGTCGTTGGCATTAGAAAAAAGCTGCTGATGGCCTAGTGGTTGCCCATTAATTTTCATTTGCAGCAATGATCAGTTACCTTTTACCAATGGCTTGGAAGCTAAAAGGGTGGCTCAAACAATCAACAGTGAGGATAGAGATGACTACTTGAGATCTGACGGCTGGACCAATGTTGATGATGTGGCACAACGTGGAAGCAGAGAAATAGGCTAGTGAGGTTTTGCTTTATAAGAGATTAAGATTTGACGAAACAAGAACATTTGCAAGCCAAGAAATACTACTACCACACTATCAAAATCGAGTAGGCAACGTTGGAAGTCAAGAAACCCCTTTCAGATGACAACACGTTACAGATCCTTTGATCTGCTCCTCCGGGGCAGAAAAACCAGTAGCACCCGACTCAACTCAAATAGAACTAAACCCTATCATCTCGCTGTTCTTTTTTCTTCTCTGTTACAACACAAAGCGATGATCTTGATTGGCTTATTATAGACCAACCCAATACGACCGGCCATTGCTGTTGTGGATCGGCGACGGAGTCGGCGTAGTCACAGCCCACTCGTACCACACCTGCAGCAGCAATGGGGAAGATGAGGGTGAGATGGTAGAAATTCCAGCATCCCAGAATCGACAGGCCATGACATATGCTTACCTTTGTGGGGGCACAGCACCGCCAGAAGTGCACTTCTATAGGAGACCCTTCCGGCACGTAGATGGGCTTTCTCAATGGGAAGAAGATGGGGAACCTGGCAATGTTTCGTCATGAAGATACAGTTATTGATGGCAAGATTTGAGAGATTCGATTGTTCGCTTTTGTAAAGATCAGGTTGCAGGTTACCAGCTAAACATGTTTGGTGTAGCGGTGTTTGGCTCGATTCCAAGATGAACATCCTTATAAAGAACAGAGTCAAAGTAGCCCGCAAATCCTGCCAAAATGATGGGGGAAACTTGAGTTAGGGAGGGGCCAACTTCTGTATCTATGGTACTAGTTTATATGAATAACAAAATCCAAACAATGGGTATGGTTGCATACCGTGCACAAGGCATGAACCCATATCTGGTAGCATTTCAAATTGCAACTTGGTGTACCTTTGGTTGCTAGCATTTGGTGAGAAATTTGGATGGGTGAAAGTAAAAACCTATGTAAAGATGTAAAGTAAAGGTGATCACCAAATTTCATGGCATAAACAGAAAAAATATGGCAATGTGTCAAACTGTGATTTGATCAGAACCGATGAAGCATACACAGATGTGATCTCTTACCTGCTGCGGAGGTGCAAGTGTCGCTATGCGGTGTAGTTTGACAACATATGCAGTTTCAAAATGTGCAATATCTTTGTGTGCTTTGATCTGCAGAAATCAAGTCACTCAGGTTTCTATAGAAATGTCAAAAGCTTAACTACAATTTGTAGACACCTACGTCGTTGTGCAATTTTGATGCTGTTATTGGTTGGATGAAACTGGTGTATCTGCAAAGAAACATAAGCAGACAATCAAATGATATTTAACATATTTTTTACATCAGGAATTAAGGAAATATATGTATAAGAAAAGGTCCAGTACGATGAAGGAATGGAAATCCCATCAGGCTTCAAGAATCGCTGAGCACCATCAAGACACTCAGGGGATAGTTCATTATCACCAAAGGACCCAAGCAATTCACTGACCTGATTCATGTAGGTATGTAAGAGGTTTTTAAAATTTAACAGGTTGGAAAGGTTTAACATGACCACTTCCAAAAATGAAATATCACCATACCAGAATATCTGCCTTTTCAGGGGCATCCCAACACCGCATGTCACTAGAAATTACAGTAACCAGGCTTTCCCAACCCTCCAATTTGATCAAACTCTGTTTCAGCACCCAAAATAGATCAAATTAAAATATACTAATGGAATACAAGAAGGCAACAGTAGATATAGCAATACAACAAGTAAAATGATTGTATCAGCAATTTTGACAAACTTTAGTAGTTTAGTACCAGCCTAATGGACATGATTGAATAAATAAGAGACAGAATAGCCACTCAATAACTTACATGAAGAGTAATAACAGCGTTAGGATTTTTTTCAACAGCATATACTTTTAACTTGCGGCCAGTTTCTTCAGCGGCCTGCAATGTCAGAGTTTCATTTAGCTCAATTGAAGAGAGATACAGTTGTACTACATTTTTCGAAGAGGGTGTTCCACTTGTATCCTTATGACAGCAAATTAATCAAGATCCTCTTTTTTTCTTTGAAGCTCATAAGCTTCAAGCGAAGTGACGCTAACCTGCAATGATGCTCGTACTAGAGGTCCTCGGCCTGCTCCCACAACCATCAGAACCTATGTTTTTTGAATAGTGAATACATAATTAGACTCAAGAAAAAATACAGAAACATGGAATGAACCCAATGAGACAGGGAGTAGATTTATTTACAGGATGCAGGAAATTAAAAGGCAGAAGAAAAAAAAGAATCATTCAATTGGCCATGGTCCAGAAACATATAGAAAAACAATATTCGAATTTATGCCATCTCAGCAGAAAATAAAGCCTCTAATCTTATTTAGAGCTATACCATTACTTCATCTCCTAAATTTTTCGGTATCCTAAAATTTACTGAAAGTATGGTTTACATGCATCAAATTTAGGAGGACAAAACACATCAAAGTTTAAGGCTCAATCTTACCGTCCTAGTTGTGGAGACTGCATCATCTGCAACCCTATCAACCAAGGCCTTAGCAACTGCTCTTCGATACTGCTCACATGATGTAAAACAAAGAATCAACAAAAACCAGTATTGGACTTAATAATAAGCAGACATGAAGTCACAGGGAAAAGAAAAGGATAACATTCTGGTCATATAATATTTGACTATTTGTTTTCTTTTGCCAAACCAGGTTCATCAGCAGTTCAAGTAAACTATTATTTCAAGAACAGCCATATAATGTGATGCTTGAAATCGTGGTGGAAACAGATAAGAAGTTTTATTCGAATTTCAAATTTTGCATTTATGTTATTCAAAATAAATATGAACAAGATAGTAGCTACTTCACAAGCTATAATATATAAAACAAAGGGCATATTCACATCATATAGCAGGAACCTGAGTATACTTCACAACATCCTTCTCAAATGTCTCATAAGTCTGAGCTTCCAAATTATCCATTAGAGGCTGCACCGAAAGGAAAGTCATGTCCCATAAGTATACGAAGAGTAATGGAGGGCAAAGTATTTCTGTACTGGTTTCGTAGGGAAAAAAAACTCGGGGATGTCAGGTTGTCAGCAGAATAAGTGAATAACCTTGCGAACTAGGAGAAATTCCTTCCCATAAAGATTGTTTGAAGAAATTTGAATTGTTAAACCTTAAAGTAGGATAAAGTGAGCATCATCTGCCTTAGCCTACGAATGCATTTAACCTATTGCAAGGTTGTAGCAGCACAAGGATGAGATCATGGGTTCAAACCCCAAGCCATTACAACTTCAATTCTCTTCCTTGAATTAGTGAGGCCTGCCGGCCAGCGAAAGTAAATTTTGAAAAAGCTGGCTGAACATAAGTTTAACCTGGACATCCTCTAGACACACGAGATGCTAGGCTACGGACTTGGTTTATTATATTATGGAGGCATAAAAATCAATCTTAATGACCAAAAACACACTTTTACATTTGTGACTAAAATATCCGACTTTTGTGAAATTTCAGTGAACTCATCAATACTCAACCCCTGATAATGGTTTTGGGGGCAGTATAAATAACCCAACCCATGACCCAATAAATAATTAGTTTTAGGTACCATAGAATCAATGGCAAATACAACAGGACTTACCTGGAGAGGAGACTGCAAAAAATCCCTGTAATTAATCTGAATCAAGTCAAATAACACAAAGTCAATGAATATCCCAGTCAAGCAGTTAAATCCTGCATCAAAGCGTGTCTTGCTAGAATGAATACCTCAAAGCGTTCCTGCTCAGGAAGTGGATCCATCCTCTGATATAGGCACGCAATGTACTCCAGGTACGGAGTTAATGCATGTCGAACAGGGGAATCTAAAAGAACAGTTTATTTCAATGGTAATTAACAATTTATTAGGCAAGTACTGAGTCATGCTAAGAAATGAAAGTAAGTTTATAGTGCGACCTAGAATTAGGTGATTAGCTAATACATAGGACAGTATAATCATAGGAATGCTCATGTTGCTATCATAATGAAGTGGAGCTTAGATTTAAACATTTGAAGTTAAGAACTCTTGTATTTTTTTCCCAGAGTCGACAAGAGTATTAAAAATTCTGAAATGTAGCATGGCCAGTGAACTATCTCCATCCAAATGTGTGTGTGTGTGTGTGTGGGGGGGAGGCCTATATTTGTTGGTGCCAATACGAATCACTCTGTTTATGAACAATCATGTGTGGTTAAAGCATACCATGGAATAATATGTCACACAGTATGCATGGCTAACCTTCAGTGTAGCTCTCATCACCTGAGAGCACTCCAGATGCGGGGAAAACATTGAGATTTGATCTCCCAGAGATTATCACCTAAATAGAACAAAAAAGAACTCAAGAATGATGTCCGCCACAGTTACCTCAATTAAAACACAAAATGACATATATATACAAAAGATAAAAAAGGCAAGTTGAAAACTAGAAGCATGTAACATTGGTTTGTTGACTCGGAAGATATGAAAATAGAAAGGTTGACTAGGTGTGATCGTAAAAGCATAAAAATAATAAACCTGAACAGAATGGTTAAAAAATCCAGTTAGCAGCCTCTGGTGCCGCTTTGATAAACAAGGATATCCTCTTGAATTTGTAAGAAAAGCCTGCGATGCAAAAATCAAACGGTGACCTCAGTTTTCATTGCCTGACAGCGCATCAACATTAATTTGTTAGATCAAAAATTTGTGATTACATTGGTTTGCAGAATAGCAGCCTTTACAGGCTCCCCAAACCACCGCCCTAATGAGTTTATTGATGGCAGTGTGCTCCTGGTAAAAGAATGAATCTTTGTGAATACCAAAACTATAGCATTATAGATTAAAATAATTAAATAGTTTCAAAAGTACTGGAATGGGCAGGTATGACACTTACGAAATATCAAGTGCCACACATAGTTGGCTACTATGGTCACATAGCAATCTGAACGAATTCCATAATTCCCACGAGTCTACTATTTCACTCTGTAGTTAAAGAAAACAAATAAACATGCGCATTATATATAATGCTAAAATACTTCTACACCGTGTTCCAGGCACACTCAATTGTCAAAAAATTACCGTGTGGTTGTTATTCTTTATTTTATCAAGATTGCCATCCATAGGCTCGGACTTCTCCAGAGGCAACCTAAGCCACAACTTGAGAAAGAAGCAGAAGAAAAAATATCATTCAGATATAAGCATATCTAGAACATAGATAAAACAGACAGAATGAGGGGTGGGAGATGGAGGCCATACATGCATATTGGTCAGGCCTTGCAAAATTTGATTCACAACTCTGGCATAATTGCCACAAAAAGATCTCCTGGGGGCAGGAAGAACACATGCCTGCAAGGACGTGCACCAAAATTCAATTTTTTTTCTTTGAAAAGGACAGTGCTGCATGAGACAATCAAGCTAGCAAAGTTTTCAGCTACCATCAAAATCCTAAGATTTTGTATTGGAATGGAATTGCCCTTGTTTCTAGAACTTGCGAGATGATGAAAAACTGAGATGATTCACACACAGAATTACCGGAGAAGAATTCTTATGCTATGTCAATCGGGGTTTCAAATTCCAGGGCAACCCACAGGTTATCTGGAACTAGAAATCCCAGGCTCACCGGGAGAAACTGACGGCAGTGGGAATATTCCACTGTGAGCTGTTTTTGCTCGTGACAGAATACAATTGCCAATCGAATGCTCTTGGAAGTTGAAAACTGTTAAGATTGTGAAGGGGATTTCAAATGTGAATGGACCGGCAGCCAACGGTTACCGGCTCCCAGCAAAATTAGGAAAATTTTATCCTTATACAATGGTTTTTCAAATCCTGAAGGCAATGTATTGCCCAATTAAGTCTTCAATTTCGCAACAATCAGCGGTATGTTCCAAACTAACGGGTGAACGGATAATGAACGGTGCAATGAGACCACTGGACCTGCAGCGAGACGTGAGACGCCCACGCGATCTCCTGCTTCAGCGTGAGCTCGGAGTCCAGGCGGAGCCGCTCGTCCTCCGCGTCCAAATCGATCCACTCGCTGATCTTCCCGACGACGTGGTTGCTCCACTGGGCCGGGCCGAGGACGAGGTCCGACGCCGACACGGGCAGAACGGCGCCGGGCGCCGGCCGGTAGTTGGGGTCAACCTGCGGCGAGCAGCAGAGCAGAGCATATCAGAGGAGGGGGCGTTGGAGAAGGCATACGGCGGCAAAAGAGCGGTAGTGTGCCCACCAGAGGGGAGAGGATGAAGTCGAAGGCGGAGGCGAGGGAGTGGCTGAGGACGGCGGGGAGGCCCTCGCCGGCCGGGAAGTCGAGCACCTCCACCCCGCAGTAGCGGGAGTCGCTCTTGTCCCCCGGGCGCTGCCCCAGCGGCATCTCCGCCAGACGGGCTTAAAAGGCGCTTCTCCGCCGTACGATGCTGGTTGCTGGTGGCCGCCCGCAGACGGAGCCGCCGGGGAAGGAGGGATTAGGGAAGGCGTTGGTGCGGCTAGGGTTTAGGGGTTTGAGCGGCGAGCGGGGAGCAGGGGACTTTCAGGCTTTGGCCGTTTGGCGGTTGCTTCTGTTCTGATTACTCTTGGCTCGGATTTTTTTTATATATATATTTAACTTTTTATCATTATTACAAATGACGACTCCTGAGATAGCATCTTTAGATTTGACGCTACGTTTTTATCATCGGAGAGAGAAAATCGATACACATTTGCCACTTTTGCTCGCGTGGCACGCCAGGTCTGCTGTCCAGCTCGGATCCGAGTCAGCAGGCCGATGTAAAATGACCGTCCTGTCCCTGGCGTTTGTATTACCCCGCGACCCACTCCACTCTCTCTTATCCGCTTCCCTTTCTCCTTTCTCTGGTGCGCGCGCGACGCCCGCCAGCCGCTGCCGCCCCCGCGCACAACGCCGCCCCACCGCGAGACATGTCCTCCCCGAACACTTTGGCGATAGTGTAAAGGTATGTGTCTGCTTGGAACCCTGTCCGCAGTCTGTATTGTTGCCTTGATTTGGGGATTAGGGTTAGGGTTCGTCAATTTGATTCGGTTTTTGTCCATCTCTGCTTAGGCCGGTGATCTATTCTCCAGTTCCTCAAACAATGGATAGCACCGGCTGTCCCGTTTGGTAAGATCAATCACTCCATCTCATTGCATTCGAAATGGTAGATGTTGTGTACGAACCGTGGCATGTAGAATGTTGTCTAACTCATTGATTTATTTTTTGTGGCTTCATTATGTCAAGATTGATCCTGGCAACACGTTTAGATTAGTTGTTAAGATTCCTAAGTTTGTCGTCGATGGGGAGTATGGGCTAGTAGAAATGGCTGATCAAGAGCATGAACTGTGGTTGGATAGAAACTTGCAGTATAGCCTGGAGAAATTTCATGAGGAGATGGCCACAAAGATCATTTGGGCTCCATCACAAACTCTAGCAGTCTGGGTTCTTGACACTGACAATGGTTCTGAATGGAAAGTTAGAAGGGATGAGCATTTTCAACAGCTAATAAAGGACAGATGGGCTGACAGGGTTGCTTTTCTTGTAGTTGATGTGGTCAACAAACATGAAGAGTCTGTTAATGCTAGTTCTGGTAGAAGGTGTGTTTCTGGTGTGACAACTGGTGAAGACAGTGGAATTCATGGTAATGGAGGTGGCAGAGCTTCTAATGCAGCCCCTGAGAATGTAGAGGGCACTGGTGATACCTACAGTACTCCTCTTCCTCCCTCTATGGCTGTTGATGCAGCTGAGCCAGTTGATTGGGCCAATCTGACCGTACTACTAGATGACAATGATGATGGTTGTGCCAATGCAGCTGCTGATGAGGACAAAGTGTATTGAGGCAATGGGATTTAAGGCTGTAGATGAGAGGGCAGAGGAAGCAGCTAGGGAAGCAGTGCATATCCCTACCATGACAGCTGAGATGCAAAAGGATATGGGTGAATCTGTTGTTCCAGTTGATGACAATGTGCCTGAGGAGCTAATGTTTCAGTGGGATAGGGACAATCCTAACATGTCTGTTGGTGTTTGTTACCCTAGTATGGATGATTTCAGGCTAGCAGTGAGGCAGAATGCCATAGTAAATGAGTTTGAACTTGCTACTGCTCATTCAGACACTCAGAGGTTTAGGGGTCACTATGGGTCTCTTGGCTGCCCCTGGATTATTAGAGCTAGGACACAACATGAAGAGAGTGTCAGGGTACATTTTTTGGCTATGTTATTCACTGTTTGATTCTCTAATTGATCATTGTTTTATCAATTGATTACTTATGATGCTGTGTGGTGTGAATTTGTAGGTTCAAATAAATGAAGGAATACACAATTGTGCTTCTAGAGCTAGAGTTCTTAGAAAAATGGCATCACAGGCTTGGGTGGCAGAGAGGGCCATACCCTTACTGAAGAAAAAGCCAAGTATGGATCCAAAGGTAGTGCAGGAAGAGCTTTAAGACAAGTACAAAATAGAGATCCCATATTAGACTATTGTCTATGGCAGACAAAGGGCAGCCAACAAGTTATTTAGAAAATGGGATAATTCATTTAATTGGTTGTACAGATTCAAGGCAGAGGTAGAGATGAGATCACCAGGTAGTATATTGGAGATAGACACAGAGACTGTGAATGATAAGGTTCACTTCAAGAGATTTTTTTGCTGTTTCAAAGCTGCTATTGATGGTTGTAAAAGGCCCTCAAAATGACTTCTTTTATGTAATTGAGGCCTTGCCTTGGCCAGACATGCCTATGTAAGTGGCCAGAACTATGTAAGTGGCCTGAACTATTGTATGTGGCCAAAACTTGTGGCAACTCTTCTGAACAACAACTTTGTTTGATGTGGCCTGAATGTAGCACTGCTGGTTGATTTATGGTTAATGTGTTCCATCTGTTATGTGTGATCTGTTATGTTGAATCTGTCATGGTTAACATGTGCCTGATCTGTCTTGTGTTTGTTGTTAACATGTACAACTGTTTTAGTTGATCTATCTTGTGTTTGTTACCGAGTTAGGCACTGCCAAAAGACACATTGAAACACAATTTACACATTGTCACATTGAAACACAATTTTCATTTCCATACATTGTCACATTGAAACATAACTTTCATTTTCCATACATTGTCACTTCATTGCAACATACATCACAACAGATCCAAAAACAACAGATATAACACACACAATGAACATGTTCATCTTCCAAATCAATGTCTCCATCTTGTGCTCCAGGTCTTTCCTATTGTTGTTGGGACCATTTGGACTGTCAACTGAAACATCTTCATGATCCACCAACTCTGCTCAGTTGGAGGGGCAAACCTAGATGATGCCCTTCTCCTTCAGCTACTCGAAGTACTGCTTCTCAAATCTATAGTACCCACACAGTTTGGGAAACTTCAAAAAAACCCAAAGTTAGAACTCTAACTGTGACATTGGGGGATGGGCAGTACACAGAACTCACCCCGTTCCTCGCACACTTGAAGTACAGATGCCCGTGGTTATCACCATCCTTCTTGGTTCGCCCCTCCACCACCCGAGCAAGCCCGCAGTTCGGGCAAGGGATCAACGGGAAGCCGCTCAACTCACCTACTGGATCCACACAGACGGAGGTGATGCGGGAGTTCTGGGCACCTTGGACCCGACTCCTTGCCCTTACAGATGACTCGGTGTAATGGGACAGGGACATGTCTCGCGGTGGGGGGCCGGCGTTGTGCGCGGCGGCGGCGGCGGCTGGCGGGCATCGCACGTGGACTAGAGAAAGGAGAAAGGGGAGCGGATGGGAGAGAGTGGAGTGGGCCACAGGGTAATACAAACACCAGGGGCAGGGCGGTCATTTTACATCGGCCTGCTGACTCGGATCCGAGCTGGACAGCGGACCTGGTGTGCCACGCGAGCAAAAATAGCAAATGTGTATCGTTTCTCTCTCTCATGCTAAAAACGTAGCGTCAAACCTAAAGATGCTATCTCAGGAGTCACCATTGGTAATAATGGTAAAAAGATAAATATCCCAATTTTTTTCTTTCTTTGGCGCTTTTGCTGCTGGATGGCTTACTGACATGTGGGACTCGCTATATGCATTTATAAGAGTAGAGGTCATCGGGAAAATCATGGTTGACTGTGTCCAACTCCGACAAACTCTATCGCCAAAAAATTATTACTATATTATATTATAGTATATTTAATATTTTTTGTTTTAAAATTATAAATTGTTCTGTCTTTTCTGATTATGTACTTTTGATTGTATATATATGATGTATAATAAAATTATTACTAAAAAATCAGAATAAATTTACAACTTGAAATAAAAGCATACATAAAAAATAAGTGCACGAGTATTGACATAATAATATAGTGTTACATATAAATCCAAGATATTGTTTGAGTTGTCTCCTATGAATTCCACAATCGTGTAATTTGTGCATAGATGAAGATAAGGGCGTGAATCGCATAGTGATGATAGTCAGTACAATTGTGCACAAAGAGTCTCATATTCTTGAATTTTTAGGTTAGAGGTAGTTGCTTCACAAAGCACTTGGCTCTCCTTTTCCATGTTGGATTAGGGATTTAGATTCTCGTAGAAACATTTTGGATCCAATTTTTTAAAAAAAAATCAAGTGATGAATCAAAATAATTTTGTGGGATTGTTTGACTAGTAGGCTAGATTTTGATTTAAAAATAATGTTTTTCATTAAAAAAGTTCGTATAAATAAAAACATACTTCACGCAAGCAGAGATTAACTTAAATACAACATATTTTAACTTATTGCATTTGAATAGATTAACTAAAAAATAATGTTGCTACTTCACAAAAGAGGCAAGAAACAAAATCAGTCGAAAACTACTCCTAAGCTATTTCACATGCATAGGCATGTGTCATGCGTTTTTTGACACAAACATTTTACTTCTTTCCCGCTTGGCAATGATTCTAGGGTTTCTGGCTAGAATCTAAAACGTTTCTGACTGCCAAACGGACCCCTTATGTGATACGTAACTTATGTCAGCTGACAACGAGACATCTATGGTGATTTATCGATCTCAAGATCTATCGGCTTAGTCTTAACCTTTTCAGAAGTGCTCATAAGAATATGATGTATGTGCGTGCATTCATAAGAGAGAGTGTATGTGCATGTGTGAATGCTTAAGTATATATAGTGATTCAACAAAAAAAAATATTTGCCCATATATTTGGGGTTCAACAATTCTTGATTTTTCATATTGTAGTAGGAAAACAACAAGATATCCACCCTCGTATATTTTGGGTTAACAATATGTGATTTAGATGGTTACATGTTTTGTAATATGGTTAAGTATCTTATCTTTATACTTTATAAGTTGTTTTTTCTATGTTCATATCCCTACGATGCTAGCATGGTAAGAAATTAGACTAATTTAGAAATATCGAGTA